TCATCATCAAAGGGCCCTAATCTGTCATCATCAAAGGGCCCTAATCTGTCATCATTAAAAGGCCCTAATCTGTCATCATTAAAGGGCCCTAATCATCATTAAAGGGCCCTAATCTGTCATCATTAAAGGGCCCTAATCTGTCATAATTAAAGGGCCCTAATCTGTCATCATTAAAGGGCCCTAATCTGTCATCATTAAAGGGCCCTAATCATCATTAAAGGGCCCTAATCTGTCATCATTAAAGGGCCCTAATCTGTCATCATTAAAGGGCCCTAATCTGTCATCATTAAAGGGCCCTAATCTGTCTTCATTAAAGGGCCCTAATCTGTCATCATTAAAGGGCCCATAATCTGTCGTCATTAAAGAGGACTGAGGCTGTAGACCCAGGACTGAGGCTGTAGACCCAGGACTGAGGCTGTAGACCCAGGACTGAGGCCGTAGACCCAGGACTGAGGCTGTAGACCCAGGACTGAGGCTGCAGACCCAGGACTGAGGCTGCAGACCCAGGACTGAGGCTGTAGACCCAGGACTGAGGCTGTAGACCCAGGACTGAGGCTGCAGACCCCTGAGGACGTAGAGCCTGGACCAGAGGCTCCTGAGGACGTAGCGCTTCACACACTCACACATGTCTAATGACATATTATTTCTGGCCGTCGCCCATGGAGACCAGACGACACTTGGTCGCCAAGGCGATAGAGCTGCACCTCCAAATGTACCGCTGATTAGAGCGGGTGAGGAGGAGGATGAGGAGGAGAGAGGAAGTGAGGAGAGAGGGGGGGAGGAGGGAGAAGAGGAGGGGGGAGAGGAGATAGGAGGTGAGGAGGGGTGAGGAGGAAAGAGGAGGGGTGGGAAAAGGAGGGAGAGAAGGGGAGTCAGCCCAGCAGATTCAGATTCAGACATATTTAACATTCATCATGAAAATAGAAAATGTAAACACTAAGTCTGAGAGGAAGAGGCAGAAGCCAAAGCTCATTGTGCCTATCCCTTCTCAGCAAGAAGGTCCTGGGTTCGAATCCCACTTGGAACAGGGCCTTTCTGAGTGGAGTTTGAATGTTTTCCTCGTGTCTGCATAGGTTTCCTCCGGGTACTCCGGTTTCTCCTACCACTAAAAACAGGTCATTTATATTTACAGAATGTAGATGAGTGACTAGAGGGTCCTGTGTGTTCAGCGACTTCACCGTCTCTGGACTGATCACAACAATATCTGATTTCTGAACTTTGTGAAGTGCTTTGGGTGACCGTGGTCATATTTATTTATGCGCTACATAAACTAGTTACTTACTTAGTTACTTACTACTTGTCCCACAGGAGGAGACCAGCAGGATTCCCCTCAGACTGCTGCCTCTGTGACCTGGCAGCGGATAAAGCGGAAGATGTCTGGATAGATGCTTGTTTTGATGTTTGGGGAAGAGGAAGCATGGACCATCAACAGAGACCAGGGGGCCTCCACCTTGGCTCACACCTGGGACTCCGGGAACCACAGGGGGAGTCTGAGGGGGCGTGGTCAGATAGAGGGGGCGTGGTCATACCGAGGGGGCGTGGTCACAGGCAGTGGGTAGCAGCAGCTGATCAGAGACCATCAGACTCTAACCATGTGGGGATGAACCAGCTGTTTGTGTAGTTTCTCTGTGGGTGTTGTCGGAGCAACACACACACTTCAAACATGTGACACACAAAGACACAACTCATTGTTTCTGTAGCGTCAGAACCATGAAGGGTGTTTATGGTCCGTGACAACTGCTGAATCTGATTGTTCTCCTCAAACAAGGCCTCACACTCGGCTCCTGGGGGCCAACTGCTGTGTGTGTTTATGTGTGCGTCTGTGTGTTTATGTGCTTCTCTCTCTCACTGTGTGTCTCTCTGTATGTGTGTCTCTCTCAGTGTGTGTCTCGGTGTATGTGTGTGTCTCTCAATGTGTGTGAGTGTCTGTGTGTCTCTGTCTGTCTTTATTGGTGTGTTTATGAGTGTGTGTGTCTGTGTGTCTCTGTATGAGTGTGTGTCTGTGTGCCTTTGTGTGTGCGTCTGTGTTTATGTGTGTCTCTCTCTGTATGGCCGTGTGTCAATGTGTGTGTGTGTGTCACTGTGTATGTGTGTGTCTGTCTGTCTTATGTGTGTGTGTATGTCTCTCTCTCTGTATGAGTGCGTGTGTGTGTCTACGAGTGTATGCGTGACTCTGTGTCTCTCATTATGTGTGTGTCTGTCTGTGAGTATGTTTGTGTGAGTGTGTGTCTCTAATCATGTGTGTATGTATGTCTGCGTGTGTGTGTCTCTCTGTATGGGTGTGTGTCTCTCTCTGTATGAGTGTGTGTCTGTGTGTGTGTATGAGTGTGTGTCTGTGTATGAGTGTGTGTCTATGTGTGTGTATGTATATCTGCGTGTGTGTCTCTCTCTGTATGTGTGTGTGTATGAGTGTGTATGTCTATGTGTGTGTATGAGTGTGTGTGTGTGTGTGTGTATGAGTGTGTGTCTGTGTGTGTGTATGAGTGTGTGTTTGTGTATGAGTGTGTGTCTGTGTGTGTGTATGAGTGTGTGTCTGTGTGTGAGTGTGTGTCTGTGTATGAGTGTGTGTCTGCGTGTGTGTGTATGAATGTGTGTCTGTGTGTGTGTGTGTGTGTGTGTGTGTGTGTGTGTCTGTGTGTGTATGAGTGTGTGTCTGTGTGTGTATGAGTGTGTGTCTGCGTGTGTGTGTATGAATGTGTGTCTGTGTGTGTATGAGTGTGTGTCTGCGTGTGTGTGTATGAATGTGTGTCTGTGTGTGTATGAGTGTGTGTCTGTGTGTGTGTGTATGAATGTGTGTCTGTGTGTGTATGAGTGTGTGTCTGTGTGTGTATGAATGTGTGTCTGTGTGTGTATGAGTGTGTGTCTGTGTGTGTATGAATGTGTGTCTGTGTGTGTATGAGTGTGTGTCTGTGTGTGTGTGTATGAATGTGTGTCTGTGTGTGTATGAGTGTGTGTCTGTGTGTGTGTGTATGAATGTGTGTCTGTGTGTGTAAGAGTGTGTGTCTGTGTGTGTATGAATGTGTGTCTGTGTGTGTATGAGTGTGTGTCTGTGTGTGTATGAATGTGTGTCTGTGTGTGTATGAGTGTGTGTCTGTGTGTGTATGAGTGTGTGTCTGTGTGTGTATGAGTGTGTGTCTGTGTGTGTATGAGTGTGTGTCTGTGTGTGTGTGTATGAGTGTGTGTCTGTGTGTGTGTGTATGAATGTGTGTCTGTGTGTGTATGAGTGTGTGTCTGTGTGTGTATGAATGTGTGTCTGTGTGTGTATGAGTGTGTGTCTGTGTGTGTATGAATGTGTGTCTGTGTGTGTATGAGTGTGTGTCTGTGTGTGTATGAGTGTGTGTCTGTGTGTGTATGAGTGTGTGTCTGTGTGTGTATGAGTGTGTGTCTGTGTGTGTATGAGTGTGTGTCTGTGTGTGTATGAGTGTCTGTGTGTGTGTGTGTGTATGAGTGTGTGTCTGTGTGTGTATGAGTGTGTGTCTGTGTGTGTATGAGGCCTGGGAACCTCTGTGTGATTATGTCGAATTTATTCAGTTGCTAATTTGACGCAACAAAACCACAATGCACCGCGGCTCATTACGGATGCAGGGGGGGGGGGGGCACGCGGGGGGAGCTAAAGTTAGAGATTTTATGCTAGCTTCTTTATTATGCTAAAGCTAGAGATCGTGTTGTATTTTAGTAAAAAGTTATTGTTCTTTATCTTGTGCTGTGTGTTCCTCGTGCCACTGGTGTGTAACTGCTGATGCAACACTGACATTTGCACATTCTTAATTTTATGGATCCTAAAGTTATTGGAACAAAAGCCAAACATTAGCAAAACAGTTTCCATTTGTGACAAGAAAAGAGCTCAGGCTCGGGGGAATATTGTGAACCAGTGTTTTAGCCCAGAGTGCAGTATCACAGTCTGCAGCGCCCTCTAGTGGCCTTCGCCTGTACTGCAGCACAGTATGTGTATGTGTTTGGATGGGGCTGCAACACTCTGAAGATTCAAACAAGACATGGACACATTTCTCTTCATGATCAAAGACACATTTCTCCTTCTAAAGAAACACGTGTCTTTGATTTATTAAAGATATTAAAGATAATAAAGAATGCAGAGTCCTGGTTTAGGCCGACACTTCTGCGTCTGCTACATCCTCAAACAGGAGTCTACAGAACTTCATAGATATTGTTTTATTTATTATTAATTAACAATTAAATAGGAGTCAATCAGTTGTAAATATGAATCTAGTTATGCTGGCAGAGATTGGCAGAGGTTGGTAGAGGTTGGTAGAGGTTGGCAGAGGTTGGTAGAGGTTGGCAGAGGTTGGCAGAGGTTGGCAGAGGTTGGTAGAGGTTGGTAGAGGTTGGCAGAGGTTGGCAGAGGTTGGCAGAGGTTGGTAGAGGTTGGTAGAGGTTGGTAGAGGTTGGCAGAGGGGTGGAGAGGGGTTGGCAGAGGTTGGCAGAGGTTGGTAGAGGTTGGCAGAGGTTGGCAGAGGTTGGCAGAGGTTGGCAGAGGTTGGTAGAGGTTGGCAGAGGTTGGCAGAGGTTGGCAGAGGTTGGCAGAGGTTGGCAGAGGTTGGCAGAGGTTGGCAGAGGTTGGCAGAGGTTGGCAGAGGTTGGTAGAGGTTGGTAGAGGTTGGTAGAGGTTGGTAGAGGTTGGCAGAGGTTGGCAGAGGTTGGCAGAGGGGTGGAGAGGGGTTGGCAGAGGTTGGTAGAGGTTGGCAGAGGGGTGGAGAGGGGTTGGCAGGGGTTGGCAGAGGTTGGTAGAGGTTGGCAGAGGTTGGTAGAGGTTGGCAGAGGGGTGGAGAGGGGTTGGCAGGGGTTGGCAGAGGTTGGTGGCGTTGTGTGATTGGCCGAGGCAGAAAGGGGCCTGGATGTGCTGCAGCTGAGAACCTTCCAGACTGAAGTTCCACAGGCTGCAGATTTGTGGTCCAGTTGAACCATTAAGAGCTCTGTGCCGTGCTGTGCCAGTCTGTGTGTGTCCATCTGTGTGTGTCCGTCTGTTGTGCGTCCGTAGTCTCCTATTCAAAGCAGTGCAGGATGGGCTGGTGTCCGGTCTGCTCCAGGAAGCGCAGCAGGTCCTCCGGCTTCAGACCCATGCTGGCAGAGTTGGTCATGGGGTGGAAGTAGACCCTCTGGTGCCCGCCCTCCACCAGGTCTCGGTCCAGGACAAACTTCACGCTCTGGTCCCGATCGAAGAGGAGCGAGAGGGCGGAGGCACAGCCCTGTCCCACCTGCCACACATGGGCAAAAACACATTTAAACACTAAAACTAACTCTAATGTCCAGTATTCTAGAGTCAGAGCAGGGGTCTCCAACCTGTAGCTCACCACCTGCTTTTAGGTAGCTCTCTGTAGCTCCCATAGGACTCAGGAATGTAACACATTTATTTGAACGATAAAATCCTTTCATGAATGCAGGACACTGTGCGGTACGATGGTATACTATGTGTGTTCTCTGTGATCGACTGTTGTTTATTACAGACCACACTTTTATTACCACTGCTAAAAGGAGTAGCTCTCTGCATTTCTGTTTTATAAAAGTAGCTCTCTAATGGAACAAGGTTGGACCAGAGCAAACTCCACTGCTCAGAGTTATGTGAATAATAATAAGACACCCAAGGACGCCTTACGAGAGTAAAGACAGAGTAAAGTCAGAGTAAAGTCAGAGTAAGGTCAGAGTAAAGTCAGAGTAAAGTCAGAGTAAAGTCTGAGTAAAGTCAGAGTAAAGTCAGAGTAAGGTCAGAGTAAAGTCAGAGTAAAGTCAGAGTAAGGTCAGAGTAAAGTCAGAGTAAAGTCAGAGTAAAGTCAGAGTAAGGTCAGAGTAAAGTCAGAGTAAAGTCAGAGTAAAGTCAGAGTAAAGTCAGAGTAAAGTCAGAGTAAGGTCAGAGTAAAGTCAGAGTAAAGTCAGAGAAAAGTCAGAGTAAAGTCAGAGTAAAGTCAGAGTAAGGTCAGAGTAAAGTCAGAGTAAAGTCAGAGTAAGGTCAGAGTAAAGTCAGAGTAAAGTCAGAGTAAGGTCAGAGTAAAGTCAGAGTAAAGTCAGAGTAAGGTCAGAGTAAAGTCAGAGTAAAGTCAGAGAAAAGTCAGAGTAAAGTCAGAGTAAAGTCAGAGTAAGGTCAGAGTAAAGTCAGAGTAAAGTCAGAGTAGGTCAGAGTCAGAGTAAAGTCAGAGTAAAGTCAGAGTAAAGTCAGAGTAAAGGTCAGAGTAAAGTCAGAGTAAAGTCAGAGTAAAGTCAGAGTAAAGTCAGAGTAAAGTCAGAGTAAAGTCAGAGTAAAGTCAGAGTAAAGTCAGAGTAAAGTCAGAGTAAGTCAGAGTAAAGTCAGAGTAAAGTCAGAGTAAGGTCAGAGTAAAGTCAGAGTAAAGTCAGAGTAAGGTCAGAGTAAAGTCAGAGTAAAGTCAGAGTAAGGTCAGAGTAAAGTCAGAGTAAAGTCAGAGTAAAGTCAGAGTAAAGTCAGAGTAAAGTCAGAGTAAAGTCAGAGTAAAGTCAGAGTAAAGTCAGAGTAAAGTCAGAGTAAAGTCAGAGTAAAGTCAGAGTAAAGTCAGAGTAAAGTCAGAGTAAAGTCAGAGTAAAGTCAGAGTAAGGTCAGAGTAAAGTCAGAGTAAAGTCAGAGTAAGTCAGAGTAAAGTCAGAGTAAAGTCAGAGTAAGTCAGAGTAAAGTCAGAGTAAAGTCAGAGTAAAGTCAGAGTAAAGTCAGAGTAAAGTCAGAGTAAAGTCAGAGTAAAGTCAGAGTAAGGTCAGAGTAAAGTCAGAGTAAAGTCAAAGTAAGGTCAGAGTAAAGTCAGAGTAAAGTCAGTAGTAAGGTCAGAGTAAAGTCAGAGTAAAGTCAGAGTAAGGTCAGAGTAAAGTCAGAGTAAAGTCAGAGTAAGGTCAGAGTAAAGTCAGAGTAAAGTCAGAGTAAGGTCAGAGTAAAGTCAGAGTAAAGTCAGAGTAAAGTCAGAGTAAAGTCAGAGTAAAGTCAGAGTAAAGTCAGAGTAAAGTCAGAGTAAAGTCAGAGTAAAGTCAGAGTAAAGTCAGAGTAAAGTCAGAGTAAAGTCAGAGTAAAGTCAGAGTAAGGTCAGAGTAAAGTCAGAGTAAGTCAGAGTAAGTCAGAGTAAAGTCAGAGTAAAGTCAGAGTAAAGGTCAGAGTAAAGTCAGAGTAAAGTCAGAGTAAAGTCAGAGTAAGGTCAGAGTAAAGTCAGAGTAAAGTCAGAGAAAAGTCAGAGTAAAGTCAGAGTAAGGTCTGGTCCCACCTTGAGTTTTTCCACCATGACGGCTTCGTCTGCAAAGCGCAGGTTCCCGCTGCCGACTCCGAGCTTCTTGGCGAGATCGTTGAGGTTCACCTGAGGATCAGAGGAGGGGGGTCACAGGGGGAGGAGGTCACAGAGGGAGGGGGTCACAGGGGGGGGTCACAGGGGGAGGAGGTCACAGAGGGAGGGGGTCACAGGGGGGGAGGTCACAGAGGGGGGGGGGGGGGGGGGGGGGTGTTTGTCGATGGTCTCACTCTCGTTCTTGTCGATGGTCTCGGTCTTGTCGATGGTCTCAGTCTCGTTCTTGTCGATGGTCTCGGTCTTGTCGATGGTCTCAGTCTCGTTCTTGTCGATGGTCTCGGTCTCGTTCTTGTCCTGTCTCGGTCTCGTACCTGTCGATCGTGGCGAGTCGACACCAGCCACAGACTCTTCTTCTTCTTGTCTTTCAGAAACAGGTTCTTGGAGACGGCTCCGCTCACGCCCTGAAGGTGTGACATCATCTCCTCCACCGTGAACACCTGAGACAGAGGGACATCAGGAGGGGGGCTTCAGGAGGAGGGCTTCAGGAGGGGGGCATCAGGAGGGGGGCTTCTAACTCTGAGATTCTCAGCTGTCAATGGGATCGAGGCAAAACTAATAAAAGAATTAATGAAGAAACAAATGAACAGTTTGAGTAAATGTTAATGTGAAATGTTTATTTTGTACTTTTTAAACTTTGTCTGGATGTTGTGGATTGATCCTGAGTGACGTGAAGCGAAGGATCAAATATATACATCAAGAAATATATATATGAATAAATACATTCGGAAATAAATGAATAAGTAAACAAAATAGACCGAGTGAGAGTTACCTGCGGGTGCAGGACACAGTCCGTCTGGATGTCCAGACTCTGCAGGAACGAGTCCAACTCCGCGCGGAGGTCCTCAGACATTATGGACTGAGGACCGAGGAGCGAGGAGAGAGGAGAGAGGACCGAGGAGAGAGGAGAGAGGAGAGAGGACCGAGGACAGAGGAGCTAGGACTGAGGAGAGAGGAGAGAGGACCGAGGACCGAGGAGAGAGGAGAGAGGAGAGAGGAGAGAGGACCGAGGAGAGAGGACCTAGGACCGAGGAGAGAGGACAGAGGAGAGAGGACCGAGGACAGAGGAGCTAGGACTGAGGACCTAGGACAGAGGAGACACACGTGCGCGCTTGAGTCCACACGGTCCACACACACGCGGAAGACCCGTGCTTCTGCTCCTGCACAGCTCAGAGCAGTGTCACAGCGCCCTCTGCAGGAAACTGTAAGAACAGCAACAGGCTGTGGACCATAGACTTTCCAATGCACTGTGTATTTATGTATTTATGACTGTTATTATGTTATCAACAGGTACAGAACAGTCTCTAAACTAAACTAAAACAAAAACTCCAACCTTAGCATAAAGAAGTGAGTCTAAAGTGACTGTCCGGAAGGAAACAGATGTGATGATGTTTATGACTAACAGATACTTAAAGTCAGAGACCAGGAGGCCAGTCCCTGTGCTCCTCAGAGTCCCAGCAGGAGGCCAGTCCCTGTGCTCCTCAGAGTCCCAGCAGGAGGCCTGTCCCTGTGCTCCTCAGAGTCCCAGCAGGAGGCCAGTCCCTGTGCTCCTCAGAGTCCCAGCAAGAGGCCAGTCCCTGTGCTCCTCAGAGTCCCAGCAGGAGGCCAGTCCCTGTGCTCCTCAGTGTCCCAGCAGGAGGCCAGTTCCTGTGCTCCTCAGAGTCCCAGCAGGAGGCCAGTCCCTGTGCTCCTCAGAGGCCCAGCAGGAGACCAGTCCCTGTGCTCCTCAGAGTCCCAGCAGGAGTCCAGTCCCTGTGCTCCTCAGAGTCCCAGCAGGAGTCCAGTCCCTGTGCTCCTCAGAGTCCCAGCAGGAGGCCAGTCCCTGTGCTCCTCAGAGTCCCAGCAGGAGGCCAGTCCCTGTGCTCCTCAGAGGCCCAGCAGGAGGCCAGTCCCTGTGCTCCTCAGAGTCCCAGCAGGAGGCCAGTCCCTGTGCTCCTCAGTCTCCCAGCAGGAGGCCAGTCCCTGTGCTCCTCAGAGTCCCAGCAGGAGGCCAGTCCCTGTGCTCCTCAGTGTCCCAGCAGGAGGCCAGTCCCTGTGCTCCTCAGAGGCCCAGCAGGAGGCCAGTCCCTGTGCTCCTCAGAGGCCCAGCAGGAGGCCAGTCCCTGTGCTCCTCAGAGTCCCAGCAGGAGGCCAGTCCCTGTGCTCCTCAGAGGCCCAGCAGGAGGCCAGTCCCTGTGCTCCTCAGAGTCCCAGCAGGAGGCCAGTCCCTGTGCTCCTCAGAGCCCCAGCAGGAGGCCAGTCCCTGTGCTCCTCAGAGTCCCAGCAGGAGGCCAGTCCCTGTGCTCCTCAGAGTCCCAGCAGGAGGCCAGTCCCTGTGCTCCTCAGAGTCCCAGCAGGAGGCCAGTCCTTGTGCTCCTCAGAGTCCCAGCAGGAGGCCAGTCCCTGTGCTCCTCAGTGTCCCAGCAGGAGGCCAGTCCCTGTGCTCCTCAGAGTCCCAGCAGGAGGCCAGTCCCTGTGCTCCTCAGAGTCCCAGCAGGAGGCCAGTCCCTGTGCTCCTCAGAGTCCCAGCAGGAGTCCAGTCCCTGTGCTCCTCAGTGTCCCAGCAGGAGGCCAGTCCCTGTGCTCCTCAGAGTCCCAGCAGGAGGCCAGTCCCTGTGCTCCTCAGAGTCCCAGCAGGAGGCCAGTCCCTGTGCTCCTCAGAGTCCCAGCAGGAGGCCAGTCCCTGTGCTCCTCAGAGTCCCACTTTGTGTGTGTAGTGTGATAACGTGGCTCTGACCCAGATCTCGTCTCTTGGGTAAATGAACATTATGATTCTCGCACAGGCAGCGCTCAGGGACGAAGGGCTCAGTGGTACACACAAATTCTCTCACACATGTCTAAGTTCCTCCAGAGCTGAGCGTGGGCGGAGCAGCATCTGACCCCAAACCAGTGAGGCAGAAGGTCCACGTCAGAGGAGCACAGCGGAATGTAATGGATGTGCATCAGGTTTAATGCTCCTGAAACAACAAGCGGATTTTCACAGTTTTAGGAAATTGCTTTTTGAAAATGAACGCAGTGTCGGCCTCTATACAGGATTGGGCCAGAGGAGTGAAGGTTAAACGATCTCTGGTCTCTCTCTGGTCTCTCTCTGGTCTCTCTGGTCTCTCTCTGGTCTCTCTCTGGTCTCTCTCTGGTCTCTCTCTGGTCTCTCTCTCTGGTCTCTCTCTGGTCTCTCTCTAGTCTCTCTCTCTGGTCTCTCTCTGGTCTCTCTCTGGTCTCTCTCTGGTCTCTCTCTGGTCTCTCTCTCTGGTCTCTCTCTGGTCTCTCTCTGGTCTCTCTCTGATCTCTCTCTGGTCTCTCTCTGGTCTCTCTCTCTGGTCTCTCTCTGGTCTCTCTCTGGTCTCTCTCTAGTCTCTCTCTCTGGTCTCTCTCTGGTCTCTCTCTGGTCTCTCTGGTCTCTGGTCTCTCTGGTCTCTCTCTGGTCTCTCGCTGATCTCTCTCTGGTCTCTCTCTCTGGTCTCTCTCTGGTCTCTCTCTCTGGTCTCTCTCTGGTCTCTCTCTCTGGTCTCTCTCTGGTCTCTCTCTCTGGTCTCTCTCTGGTCTCTCTCTGGTCTCTCTCTCTGGTCTCTCTCTGGTCTCTCTCTCTGGTCTCTCTCTGGTCTCTCTCTGGTCTCTCTCTCTGGTCTCTCTCTGGTCTCTCTCTCTGGTCTCTCTCTCTGGTCTCTCTCTCTGGTCTCTCTCTGGTCTCTCTCTCTGGTCTCTCTCTGGTCTCTCTCTCTGGTCTCTCTCTGGTCTCTCTCTGGTCTCTCTCTCTGGTCTCTCTCTGGTCTCTCTCTGGTCTCTCTCTCTGGTCTCTCTCTGGTCTCTCTCTCTGGTCTCTCTCTCTGGTCTCTCTCTGGTCTCTCTCTGACTTGTAACAAGCTCTGCTTGTTACAAGTCTCTCCATGGCCTCGCACCAAAATATATTAGTGACATGTTAGTCCCATATGAACCAGCCCGGACTCTGAGGAGCACAGGGACTGGCCTCCTGCTGGGACTCTGAGGAGCACAGGGACTGGACTCCTGCTGGGACTCTGAGGAGCACAGGGACTGGCCTCCTGCTGGGACTCTGAGGAGCACAGGGACTGGACTCCTGCTGGGACTCTGAGGAGCACAGGACTGGCTCCTGCTGGGACTCTGAGGAGCACAGGGACTGGCCTCCTGCTGGACTCTGAGGAGCACAGGGAGCTCCTCTGGACTCTGAGGAGCACAGGGACTGGCCTCCTGCTGGGACTCTGAGGACCACAGGGACTGGCCTCCTGCTGGGGCTCTGAGGACCACAGGGACTGGCCTCCTGCTGGGACTCTGAGGAGCACAGGGACTGGACTCCTGCTGGGACTCTGAGGAGCACAGGGACTGGCCTCCTGCTGGGACTCTGAGGAGCACAGGGACTGGCCTCCTGCTGGGACTCTGAGGAGCACAGGGACTGGCCTCCTGCTGGGACTCTGAGGAGCACAGGGACTGGACTCCTGCTGGGACTCTGAGGAGCACAGGGATTGGCCTCCTGCTGGGACTCTGAGGAGCACAGGGACTGGCCTCCTGCTGGGACTCTGAGGAGCACAGGGACTGGACTCCTGCTGGGACTCTGAGGAGCACAGGGACTGGACTCCTGCTGGGACTCTGAGGAGCACAGGGACTGGACTCCTGCTGGGACTCTGAGGAGCACAGGGACTGGACTCCTGTTAGTGCCCAGAGTCAGAACTAAACATGGGGAGGCTGCTTTTCAGATTCATGCTGCTAAAATCTGGAACAGTCTTCCTGAAGATGTGAGACAGGCCTCCTCTCTGACAATGTTTAAAACCAGGTTAAAGACAGTTCTGTTTAACTGTGCTACAACTGAGGGATTTTATATTTTGATCTTTCTTTTTAATGTTCTGTGATTATTTATGATTTTAATGCTTTCTTGTTCAGCACTTTGAGTTGTGCTATACAAATAAACTTGCCTTGCCTCGCCTTACAGTCTCAGTCCTGGGTCTACAGCCTCAGTCCTGGGTCTACAGCCTCAGTCCTGGGTCTACAGTCTCAGTCCTGGGTCTACAGCCTCAGTCCTGGGTCTACAGCCTCAGTCCTGGCTCTACAGCCTCAGTCCTGGGTCTACAGCCTCAGTCCTGGGTCTACAGCCTCAGTCCTGGGTCTACAGCCTCAGTCCTGGGTCTACAGCCTCAGTCCTGGGTCTACAGCCTCAGTCCTGGGTCTACAGCCTCAGTCCTGGGTCTCGATGGGTTTGATTTAAATGTGTTTTATTTAATACCTTGGAGCAGATTAGAAACACAGACCTCAGACTCAAACAGACATGTCCTGGAAGACCTCCTTTAGCATAACAAAGAAGCTAGTATGAATCTGTACATTAGCATTAGCATTAGCATTAGCATGAGGCTCTGGGACACAGACACATGTGGTTCTGTATTGCACATATTGCACATTATTATGATGTTATTATTGCACAGATGAAGCCTCTGCAGCGAGAGAGCGGTCGATGAGATTCTGTGAGACTTCCTGTTTGTCTGTGAGAGAAGCCCTCCTGCTGGGCTGCCTCTGAGTCTGATGAAGCAGAAGTCCTGAAGAGCCCACAGCGGAGAGAGAGACCACAGCGGGGAGAGAGACCACAGCGGGGAGAGAGACCACAGCGGGGAGAGAGACCACAGAGGAGAGAGAGAGACCACAGCGGGGAGAGAGACCACAGCGGGGAGAGAGACCACAGCGGGGAGAGAGACCACAGCGGGGAGAGAGACCACAGCGGGGAGAGAGACCACAGCGGGGAGAGAGACCACAGCGGGGAGAGAGACCACAGCGGGGAGAGAGACCACAGCGGGGAGAGAGACCACAGCGGGGAGAGAGACCACAGAGGAGAGAGAGAGACCACAGAGGGGAGAGAGACCACAGAGAGAGAGAGAG